AGGGGATGGTGGGGAGGACGAAGGTACGAGGAAGGGGGTAATGGTTGGGAGGATGAGGGGGACGGGGGAGTAGGGGATGGTGGGGAGGACGAAGGTACGAGGAAGGGGGTAATGGTGGGGAGGACGGGGAAACAGGGGAGGGGTACTGTGGCTCAGCAACGCATGGCCAGGTACAACTAGTAATAATAATAATAATAATAATAATAATAATAATAATAATAATAATAATAACAATAATAATAATAATAATAATAATAATAATAATAATAATAATAATAATAATAATAATAATAATAACAATAATATCAATAATAATAATAATAATAATAATCATAATAAAATGAAGAAGAAAAATTATGCTTTTGGTTGAAATTCGTCTTTCGTAAGATGGCGGTCCGTTAGGCCTCCGTTGACGGCGTGTGAGATAATTCTTTCTACGGCGCGGACTAATCTTCCGTGTTAACTGTGCGTTGTGGCTTATACGGTGTGGCGGGAGGGGGAGAGTATGTGGGGAGTGGAGGCTCTGCGGTAAGAGGCTGAGGTGAGAGAGAGAGAGAGAGAGAGAGAGAGAGAGAGAGAGAGAGAGAGAGAGAGAGAGAGAGAGAGAGAGAGAGAGAGAGAGAGAGAGAGAGAGAGAGAGAGAGAGAGAGAGAGAGAGAGAGAGAGAGAGAGAGAGAGAGAGAGAGAGAGAGAGAGAGAGAGAGAGAATGAGATGAATATTGCAGATTGATCACTCATATAATCAGAGAAATATGTTACCAACGAAGATTTAGAGTCGTAGATTTTAGAGTGAGAATAGAGTGAGTCACATGGAAGTCGGGAAATTAGCGAGCCCGTAGCGGCGACCCCAGACTGCTCGACTTAGGGGAGGGGATGGAAAGGGAATTACCACTAGACTAGTTAAAGCGCCAAGCCATTGCGACTATATAACACTTGGAAGGAGAGGGGGGGGGGGGATCACGACGGAAAAGAAAAACAAAGAAAGAGTGTGAAGTAAATAGGCTTTTACAACACTCCGGTGAAGACAACGTTGTGTCGCTGGACCTACATCAAACGCCTCTGTGGAAACCCTAGTTGTTGTTGTTGTTTAAGATTCGCTAAAATGTTCCAAGTAGCACGGGCTATGGTGAGCCCGTTGTGGACTTACCTGGCACAGGAGCGGGGCTGTAACTTCCTGGAAACCCTAGTACCAGGCCTAGTGATTATAGGACTGGCAGGAGGTCGGAACCATCCCTCCCCCCCCCCCCCCCCCACCCCCACCCAACCATGAACATGTTTGCATGTAAACAAGGTGCGATAATCACTCCATCACCGTAAACAGCTTTATAAACAAGGTATATTAACCACTAAAATGGAATGCATTAGGCAGTGACGTGGTGGAGGCTGACTCCATACACAGTTTGAATTGTAGATATGATAGAGCCCAGTAGGCTCAGGAATCTGTACATCAGTTGGTTGACAGTTGAGAGGCGGGACCAACAAGCCGAAGTTCAATCCCCTAGGATAGGACTCACCAGCAAGGGGAGTACACGCCTCAGCTCGAGGTACAGCTGAGGCGTGTGGCGGTACAGCTGAGGCGTGTGGCGGTACAACAGGTACACTTATGGTGCATTGAAACGTAATTTGAAATGATTAATAAGTAGTAAGATTAGGGCAGTAATGTGTCTTAATGTCCTTGGTGCTTGTGGCGTGGTGTACGTGTTTGTGGCGTGGTGTACGTGTTTGTGGCGTGGTGTACGTGTGTGTGGCGTGGTGTACGTGTCTGTGACGTGGTGTACGTGTTTGTGGCGTGGTGTACGTGTTTGTGGCGTGGTGTACGTGTTTGTGGCGTGGTGTACGTGTTTGTGGCGTGGTGTACGTGTTTGTGGCGTGGTGTACGTGTTTGTGACGTGGTGTACGTGTTTGTGGCGTGGTGTACGTGTTTGTGACGTGGTGTACGTGTTTGTGGCGTGGTGTACGTGTTTGTGGCGTGGTGTACGTGTTTGTGGCGTGGTGTACGTGTTTGTGACGTGGTGTACGTGTTTGTGGCGTGGTGTACGTGCTTGTGGCGTGGTGTACGTGTTTGTGACGTGGTGTACGTGTTTGTGGCGTGGTGTACGTGTTTGTGACGTGGTGTACGTGTTTGTGGCGTGGTGTACGTGTCTGTGGCGTGGTATTCGTGTTTGTGGTGTGGTGTCCGTGTTTGTGGCGTGGTGTACGTGTTTGTGGCGTGGTGTACGTGTTTGTGGCGTGGTGTACGTGTTTGTGACGTGGTGTACGTGTTTGTGGCGTGGTGTACGTGTTTGTGACGTGGTGTACGTGTTTGTGGCGTGGTGTACGTGTTTGTGGCGTGGTGTACGTGTTTGTGGCGTGGTGTACGTGTTTGTGACGTGGTGTACGTGTTTGTGGCGTGGTGTACGTGTTTGTGTCGTGGTGTACGTGTTTGTGACGTGGTGTACGTGTTTGTGGCGTGGTGTACGTGTTTGTGACGTGGTGTACGTGTCTGTGGCGTGGTGTACGTGTTTGTGGCGTGGTGTACGTGTTTGTGACGTGGTGTACGTGTTTGTGGCGTGGTGTACGTGTCTGTGGCGTGGTGTTCGTGTTTGTGGCGTGGTGTACGTGTTTGTGGCGTGGTGTACGTGTTTGTGGCGTGGTGTACGTGTTTGTGACGTGGTGTACGTGTTTGTGGCGTGGTGTACGTGTGTGTGGCGTAGTGTACGTGTTTGTGGCGTGGTGTACGTGTGTGTGGCGTGGTGTACGTTGTGTGTATGGTGTCATAGGCCTACCGGGAGGTGGTGTCATAGGCCTACCGGGAGGTGGTGTCATAGGCCTACCGGAAGGTGGTGTCATAGGCCTACCGGGAAGTGGTGTCATAGGCCTACCGGGAGGCGGGAAGAGCGAGGTACTCACCGTGTTGGAGGAGTGGCGGCGGCGGCTGCGGCGGCGGCGGCCGGTGCTTGGCCTCGCCGGGGGAGGCGGGAGTCTCCTGCGGCTGCGGGTCCTCCTCCAGCCTCCTGACGCCCTCCATCTTGGCCTCCTCCGTCCTGGCCTCCACCTTGGCCTCCTGGCCGCCGCCCTCCCACCACCGCGTCCACCCGCGGTCCCCGCCGGAGGACAGCTGTGTTTCGCGGGCGGCCTCGCGGGTCACTAGTGGCGGGCTACCGTGGGCGGCCTGTCGTGGCGGCGGGGTGGCGCGGGCGGCCTCCACAGCCTCCAGGGGCGGTGTGGTGACGCCCGTGTGGCCGATGGGAGGCGCCGCCCGCCGGGAATCAATGCTGGCGGTTGTGTTTCAGCGCCGCCACTACCACCGCCACGCTCCTCCTGCGGCAGCAGCAGCACCACCTCCTGCAGGAGCGCTCGTCGGGCGTCACAACGGAGGGGACGGCTCCTAAGCGGCCGCCGGCCACACACTCACACCCACCTGGCCACCGACTGCGCGAGAGGACGTGGTCGCGGACCGCGAGTAAGCCACGTGCAGACTTCCGGCGAGCAGACGGGCGAATGCGGCGTCAAAGGTTGGTCGGTGGATGTCGCCGGCGCGTCGCCCCACTTGACTCCTCCTCTGTCAAGACGCCCCGCCCCCGCCAGGACTCAGCCGTCACTCGTCACCCTCATCCACCTCCATTTTCTCCCGCCATACACCAGCTGGCGGGTGCTCGAGTCGTCCTCCAGCAGCTCCAAGAGGGGACTCCTCCCTGTTTTGAAGAAGGACGTTTGACTGGTGATCTCTGGCGGGCTTAAGCCCTATCACGTGGCTCTTAGCCCGAGACGGGCGCTGATTGGCCGCCGCTCCTCGGGATCAGCCAATAGGGCGGGGCTAAAGTCTCTCGGCGCTTGCTGATTGGACGGCGCCTGATGTATGGAAAGTGGCACTTCACAGAGATTGATATTGATCGCGGCACACTCGCTCTGAAACAATCAACAACTTTGGTCCCCCAGTCGCTTCTCGTCTCGCCTCCCCCCCCCCCCACCCCTCACCCCTACCCCTTTACCCCCTTACTTCCAGCCCCTTCACCCCCCCCCCGCCCCATCGCCTCGTCCCCTCCCCAACCCCCCACCACCAAGCATTCAATAGAGTCAAGAGGAGAAGCTGATTTCTTTGGATGTCGCTGTCTCAAAAAGCCGGCAGGATTTCCGTGTGATGGTTCTGGGGGGCGCCAGCACGGCTCCAGCGGAGGTCACAGTGTCTCGCTCCCTGTAACTCCAGCCACTCACAAATGCTCTTTATTTCGCACTCACTTTAACCCAACCTGTTTGTGAGTGTATGTATGTGCTTTGTATGTATTTATGTACGCACACTTGGTATACACGCTGGACATTTGGAACACTGCGCAACCTACATGAGACTAGTCTTGGAGTCTGAAGCTTCGACTTTGAGTACTTACCTAACAGGAATGTATAGATTTGCAGTGTACATCGGATGGGCATTACAAAAGGTTGCAGGAGGTCAGTCTAATGGCGCTAGTGAGAGAAAGAGAGAGAGAGAGAGAGGGAGAGAGAGAGAGAGAGAGAGAGAGAGAGAGAGAGAGAGAGAGAGAGAGAGAGAGAGAGAGAGAGAGAGAGAGAGAGAGAGAGAGAGAGAGAGAGAGA